TGACCATTCAACTGATTTTCTCAAAAAATTTAATCCCCCCCCCCCCTAGTAAATTATTTATACTCATGGGGTCATGGCTCCACCTTTTGCCCCCCCCCCTCCTCCCTCTTCCATAAATAAGGACTGGTCCCTAACTGCAGGAAAAAATGTGCACTTCACAGAACATTTATAACAATTCATAATTTATTACTTTTGCCCCAGGCTAGGTAACTACAACAGAAGTTGCCAAATAGGCCCTTTGAAGGTAGCTTGCGTGTCAGGCTCGATGCTTGAAATAGAGCCTGTTATACCCTGTGAGCAAAGTCCTCTCGCATTTCTACTTGGCACGGCACGGAGAAGCGAGAGAGACTCTTCAGAACTTGTGTATAAATTCATTTGAGCATGCGCAAAGGTTGCTAAGCAACTGCCTATTTCCCAGAAGAAGATTTAATAAGTAGTTTCCGGTTCGGATCAAAACAGGCTATAAAACTGGTATCAAACCTGAAATTACTCATAATTATCCAAGTTTTTGGATTGTTGGCTCCACAAAGAATATACACAAGTTCTGCAGAGTCTCTCTCGTGCTGAGAAGAAATACGAGAGGACTTTGCCCACAGGGTAAGCCTGTTACTGAAGTCAATAAAAAGTGGACAGTGATTGGGATGCACAAAAATAACAACCAATCAAAATGGCGATTGTTAATTACGTATCAGTCAATTCCAGCAGTGCCCATCCCCCCGAGGTATTAGCCATTTCTGGGAAGAAAATGGCTATGTCCACAAGCCCTTTGCGATCAAATTAAATATCAGTTTTCCAGCAAATCTACCAAATCCCCCATGATGGAAAATGTCAAAATCCTCACCCCAGGGCTAAAAAATATCGGCAATAGCCCCACCCCCGTGATTAGGAAAAGCTGTAAAGGCCCAGGGATGGGAACTGCTGGAATTAATTGATACATTAGATTATCAAAGCTAATTTAAAATATGACAATAATGGCCAACTTTTCCACCAGTATCTCAAAACTAAATATTCCAATTTTCATCGAATGGCCAGGAATTACATATTAAATAATAATAACTGTTATTGACTGCAGCAAAGGCAGTCATTAACATGGCCAAAAGTAGTTAAAGTACAATTACAAGTACGGAATATCATTACGTAAACAAGAATTTGGCATTACCTTAAAAACAAAGCTATTTATTTCTGACCAATGGGAATTTTGCGTACGAATCATGTGCATCAATCCTTTTTACTGACCTCAGTAGCAGGCTTTATTTCAAGCATAGAGCCTGACACGCTAGTTACTTTTAATAACCCATTGAGTTGCATTGCCCCCCTCCCCCCCCCCACTTAATTTCAATACATTGTTTTCACCATTGTGTTTATACAACCTTGCAAATTTACTAGTAGGAATTTCCATTGTGTTTGCAGCCCTTACACTTTGTGTTTCATTATGGCATCTTGACCTTGAAAGAGTCTATTACTGTGGCTCCAACATTTTCCCGTTCGGCGTTAGAAACACAATACATTGATCATAAAATGACCGAAATTTTACAGATTTAAAAGCCTGACACCTAGCGGCAAAGTTTAAATTTCACACAAGTAGTGATGAATGGTGATCACTGTGGTTGTATTTCGGTCTTGTTAGGCTACACCATGTTCTTTTAATTTGACCATCTATCCGTAACAGTATTATTTGCATCAACAGCCGTAAAAAAAGCACCCAGATAAACAGCAATTCGCGAATATTATTGTTGCGATTTACAAAGGTTGCGGCCCATTCCAACTTTGTAAAATTGAAAATTGTGAACTTTTGTCCTCTATTTCAAGATTGCAGCCTTCCAAGTTACTCACATAAAATGAATTTCGCTTTATAAAGTCTGTTTCATCGGAAAACTTTTAAGGTTCATCGGAAAAATATAAAAAAATATGTACAAAATCGATGATACCATTCGCTCGTGGTAAACGGCCATCTTGAATTCAGCGACGAATAGTAATGACGTAATTTTTATTTTTTATTAATGATGTAATTGTCATTTTGTGGCTAACGATCCAAGATCCGACGCTAATGCGTGCCGAAACCTAGAGTCGCTGTGGGCTCTGCCCAGCGACTAATAATAGTCTGTTTTGGCTTTCCTTAATTCGGTGTTTGTTTGATTTCTGGCTTTTTTATAAATGAGCCAATCAGATTCTTGTTTAGTAATAATTGCTTTTCTTTTCAATTTATCTCTTTCGGTTATGAGCATTTTAATTTTGCTTGTAAACCAAGGGACACTTTTTGATTTTATCTTTTTGTTTTGAAGTGGTGCATGCTTATCCAGGACCTCTAAAAAAACTTTTTTCCACATCTCCCACATAGGATTTGGATTATCTGGAAAATAATAAATATGATCCCAGGGTTGATTTTGCAAATCCTTAAGAAAATTTAGATCACTGAATTTCTTCATGTTTCTAATTTCAACAATATTTACATGACGTTTTACTGAAAAATTTATTTTTCTTATTGCGAAAATCATGCTATGATCACTAATTCCAGTATGTATTACCCCACAGTCAGAAATTTGCTCTGGTCTATTTGTAATAAAATTATCAATAAGGGTTGATGTTGATGATGTTATGCGCGTAGCTTCATCAATCATTTGTGACAATTGATAAAGTTCATATATGGATTTGAGTTGTCAATTGGTCTGGATTTGTCTTAAGTAAATCACAGTTTAAATCACCAAGAATGTGAATTTCTTTGTTTTCATCATCTATTTTTTTAATGAGACTTTCTAAATCGGTAAAAAATTCGGATGACGGATTTGGAGGTCTATAAGCTGTTACTACGACAAACGGCTGACTTTGAGGCTTAATGACTTCAATGCAAACAGCTTCAAGATTTTTAGGCACTAGATCATGTCTAATCCGATAATTAATGGAGCTACGCAAATACATGCAAGCACCACCTCCACTTCTGGATCTATCTTTTCGGATGATATCATAACCATCAATATACCTTTGACTATCTGAAATTGATGAATCAAGCCTTGTTTCATTAAATTCGATTAAATCAATGAATTTGTTTGACAATGAAAAGCTAATTTCATCATATCGTTTGGCAAGCTAACAACATTTAAAAAAGCCATTTTAAAGCCTCTTTCATTAGGAATAGAATTAATCTCATTGAAACAATTGCTGCTCCTGTTTTGGGTTAATGGCAACTATTATTAATATTTATTTCTTCATTATATTGGTTACTAGCTTCAGGTGATCTAACAATTCCTTCATTCGATGGCCCAGTGCAAGCCGAAAAAAAGGCTTATTTTTGCCATGCAGCTTCTGATTATGAACAGCATTGCGGCTAATTTTAACTAACTTTAGGTAAGAGCAAAATTTTTTGCCCAACAACTTGTCTCCATTTTTGTTCAAATGGAGGTTGGATCTATTGAGATGGGATTGATCTATCTCGCTGTTATCTAAAAATGCTACTTCATACCTCTTGCACAAGATACGTAATAGGTTATTTGCTTCCTCAATTTTTTGGTTGGATAATTTACCATCAAATCTTTTTACCACACTTGACACCGCAACATCACTTGAATGGACTTTTGTCACTTTTATAAGACTTTCCATACGTTGAGCAACTTGATGTGGACTTTCATTGACCAGGTTGTTGGTTCCTGCATGGATAATTACTGCTTAATATTCTGACTATCATCTGACCAATGTTCCTGGATCTTTTCTTCAAGATGTTGTATTCTTGCTCCACTATAAGGGTGACACTGGGTCTATTTAGTTTTGGCCGCTCTGGATATTTTTAAATTGTCAATATTCCTGACCATGCAGTCACCCAATGATGAGTACTTTTTTCTGTTCTGATGGTGACTGATTATTTGGGGGACATTCACTATGGCTATCAGCACTTGTCGTGTTATGACTGTGAATTACGGTAATCTTTAATTTACCCTTGAAAGCCCCTATCTGAGCCACTGTCCGAGGTATTGACTGGTATGTCGTCATCTTCAACAGTCAATGCATCAAAATTATTAAAGGTGGAGAGTCCCTGTTGTGGAGAGTCAGGAACAGGCACTTGGTTACAATGGTTTGAAGATTTCGCTTTTATCCAGACATTCTGTTTCATATCAAATGTCTTTTGAATTAGTTCATTGTCAAGCTTCACCTGCTCTAGGGTCACTTTCATATTATCAAGTTCACTCTCCAAATTCCTGTTTTTGTTAATAAGCATGTGGATTATGCCATCTTGGCCTTCGATTAATTTGTCGATTCAATTGGTTGATTCGATTGATTTTTTGATTGATTAATTTTAAAATAAGTCAAGTCGTGTTGCAATGTTTACGGACGATACCAAAGTCTTCAAGGCAATACAATCGCCCAATGATGCAATAAAGTTACAGGAAGATATCACTAACTTGGGGATCTGGTCATCTGAATCTGGCTTATAATTCAACGAAGCAAAATGCAAAGCACAATCCATTACCCGTAAAACCAATTCAATCCCTACCACCTATTTTATGAATGACGCTCCACTAGCATCAATTAAGCATGAACGTGATCTTGGTGTCTGGATATCTTCCGATTTGACATTGAACAAGCATATCAACGAACAGTGTGCACAAGCAAATAAAATGCTTAGCTACATCAGACGGAACACACGAACAATTAACAGCATTAAAACAAGAAGAACCATTTACCTGTCACTGGTACGATCACATCTTGGTTACGCGACGCAAGTCTGGACACCCCAATCTACCGAACTTCTGCTCAAACTCGAAAAACCTCAAAGACGTGCAACAAAATACATTCTTAATCTTCCATTTATCAGTTCAGTAAATTACAAATCCAGATTGCAAACTATCCATCTACTGCCCATATGTTACTGGCATGAATACCTTGATATGATTCATTTCATTTCTTCAAAGTAACTCATGGCATTACCAGCTCGATCGTCCTTTGCCTTGCACGCCAAGACAACAAGATATACAAGATCGTCCACTAACACGAAAGGTGTAAAGTGCGAAGTCCCGCGGTGCAAAACAACAACCTACCAAAGATCATACTGGATAAGAACCATCAGAACATGGAACACATTGACGGTCATACTTGACTTGAGTATGGAGAACTTCAACACATTCAAGTCTGTAATGCGAGAGTACTACCATACTGCATTAACGAACACATACGATTGTGATGATGTACGAACTTTTAAAACGATTTGCCCGAAATGCAATAGAGCAAGAACTTTAACGAACTCGATGAACTGTTGTTTTTAGTCTCTATGGTTTAATTGTTATTTGTGTTATTGATATTTGTCTCTTAACGTCTTGGGCCCGTAGTAATTGGTTTCAGGCTGTTGAGGATACCCAACCATCAACTCAGTTTATGTCATTGTGTTATGTATGTATATGTGTGTGTATGTTTCTGTACAGTAGTGATGGAAAAGCAATTAAATTAAATTAACCAAAAATTTATACTGAAGGCGCATGCGCAGATTATGTTTTGGTCCGATCCGATCTGGTCCGATCCGCCGCTTATTTTCCGGAGTGGAAATTAGCCTTAAAAATGTGGTCGGATCTATGGGCAATAAACCATAAAAATCTTCTAGCATTTTGTCCTGATTTTTTACTTGAAGAAACCTCCTTGAGAGCAGCGTTTATGTCAGGTCCAAATAAATCGTCTTTAGTAAGTTTTTTTTTGCCTGGACAATAGAAGCTAGGCCCTCTTCAGACAAACGCGTTTCATATTCGAGTGACTTTCCTGCTGTGTTATCGACATCATTTGGGGCAAGAAAATGACTTCAGCATTTGGGGCAAGGAAATGACTTCAACTTCGGTTATGGCCTCGACGAATTCAGATTTGACATCGTCGCTTTCCGTTTCCACAACAGCCACAAATAAATAGACATTTTCGGTAATTACGTCACAGCTACATTGTTTTCAACTTAGAACCATCTTAAATCACGCTTAAATAGAATGGATTTCAAGTTGTTTTTTCTCACTGGCTATGCGCAAAGAAGCAGAACATCCATCTTTAGTAACATATGCATGATAAAAAATTAATTCTTTTGACCAATAAATGTAGGAATAAGCTTTAACACGAAAACGAGGTTAAGGGTCCCAAAGGGGCAATGGCCCCTTAGCCTCGTTTTCGTGTAAACGCTTAGTTACACTACATTTATTGATCAAAATGAAAAAATCTTTTTCATGCATGTGTTGAAGAAGGATGCTTTGCTTCTTTGCGCGTAGCTAGTGAGAAAGAAACTTAAAATCCATTCCATTTCAAACATCGTGTCTTCTACAGAAATACTGCGCTCGCAAATATATCCTCAACTGGCTCTTTACCTACGTTATACCCTTCACCGAGTTCCATTTCACTCTCCATAATGTTTTCCCGCTGTTTGATCGTCAAAATTAAAAATAAAATATTTGAGGATGTTGTGCGCGCCCCTTGTAATTTGTATAGGTAATTGCATAGTTCCTCGTGAAATTAAGGTTTAATTTCACTTGTGTATTCAAAGTTTCACAAATTGCCCTCGTCTCACGGCAAAATTTATTCGTAAGTTAATTGTGAACTTGTCAAGTTCTTGAACCTCGTATGTCTCCATGTCTTCGCCTTTTCGCCTGTTTCTTAATGCTGCCCTGCCTGCCAACTTCTTAAATACTCCAACCAATAAATTTTTACTTTTTCTAGTGTTCAAGTTTTCCCTATAAGTTTTTAATTCTTCAATAACATCATTATCCGCAACGACAAAGCGAGAAGCCATTGTTTTTATTGCTATTTAAAACAAGAGACTTCCTGCGCAAGCGTCTCAACCAATCAGGTACAATTTTGCCCTGAATTAATTAAGAAAAATGCCCTCCTCATTAATCAATCTTATTTGAGTAATTTTGCCCTCTATATGATTGGACACTATAATTCTTAGTGTTGAAATTTTGCTGATTCCCGACGCTGGTCACGTGACATAATTTTGGCTTGTTTTCAACATAAATTTCTGGTCCTTTTGAAGTATGCCGGCTAGCCTAACCAGTCTATTTCTATTAACTGTGATCAAACCAAGATGGACGCCATTTCGGCAGAAACTATGCTTTTCTTTAATTATAAAACGGTAGACAAAATAACAGATGGGCTTTCTATTGAAGCTCGTGTATTTTGTGAATTGGCGACTCGATTACGTAGTACCCCATTGGATAATAATTCACCTGTTCTTCCAGAATTTTTAAGCAGTGCGCCGAGAATAATATTTCACGTTCATCATCTACTGTTGCTACAATAACTTCCACCTCTAGCACCAGAACTTACAGCGAATTACATACACTATTGGTATGTAAAACCACAAATATTTACTGTGGATGGACGGTTCACGTCCACCTCATCTTTCATTCTTTCTTACCTTCCCCCAATGCCAAATTCCCCCAAGTGGCATTGGTAAGTTCATTCCATTATTGGCTAGCAAACCATGTTTTTAAAAATAGTTCAGATACTTTGCAATGTAAATTTTTTCAGAAGTTGGTAATTCCTTACACATTCCCAATGACACATTCCTTATCAGCGAAAACACATAGCCTGAAATGGTAGATCGAGATCCGCAGTTCTTTGTAAAATTGTTCCGTTGTCATAATTTGTATACTACTCACCTCCCGTACACACTGTTCCGTAAAAGGGAAAAGAACAAACACATCTCCATGACGTCATAGTACTGATGCACGTTCCTCCGAATAGGCAAGGGTTTGAGAAACAGGGGTCCACACCTTGAAGAGAAAGAACTAAAAGTTTAGTTTGTCTCGTTTGAAAGAATGTCTAAATTATGTATAATCTTGTTACAAACTTTTTTATTTCAATCTTAACTATTGGAATATTTGGACGGACAAAAATGAGTTGCCCGCCATCTGAGTGATCAATTGTTGTTTGCGTGGCTCCACTTGTGACATAACATGAATATCTTGAGTAATATTACCAAGATGGCGGACAGCACACTCTTTTCAGTCAAGTATGACACCACTCTGATACGGACATCTCTCCAATTCGGGCACCTCTCTAATATGAGCATCTCTCTAATACAGATACTCGATCCTCTAATACAGATTTCACTCTAATACAGAAGTTTCTCTAATACAGAAGTCTGTCTAATACAGATACCTTTCTAGGACAGACACCTTTCTAGTACAGTCATCTCTCTAATAGAGACATTTCTCTAATACAGCCATCTCTCTACTACGAACGCATTTCTTCCCTCTACACTGTAGAGTCTACAGTTTTCCTCTTTCGTTCAAAATTTTAACATAATCTTACGTTCTTCACATCTTGGGCCATGGTATTGAGAATTACAATTTTGACAACGATATCCAAGTTGTTCGTCTTTAACACAGCTTTTTGCGTTTGTGCACGGATTACTTGCGCAGGGATCTAAATATTGTTAATTTAATGTAAACAGATTTGAGTTACAAAATCAAGTTTCTTTTCTTTTCCTCTGTTGTACAAGCAGGGCTTTCAGAATTATTCTGAGTAAGTGGCTGTGTTAATAAAATAGGCGGCTGTCGGGGGGGGGGGGGGGGGGGGGGGGGGGGGGGGTTGGGACACGAAGTCTTAAAACCAGAAGTCATATAACAGAGCTCTGTGGTCAAATTCTAATGTATCACTACCTAACGTTTATTCCAATTCGTCAACAAAATTATAACTTCAAAATCTCAGATAGCAAATAACTTAATCAGTTTTACGAAATGGTGCATCGTTTTCGAGAAAAAAGGATATAAAGTGGACCTGATTGAGGAAAAGTAACTTTTTCGATTGCTTAGAGTGGAGGAAGGACAGCAAAATTCAAACATCAAATACAACACGAATTAACCGGCGGTGAACATCGTGACACTGGCCGGAGCTGCGGCGGCCGCAGGCACTAATTGCCAGTTGATGCATGTGTAGGACATTGGCATGAAGTGTTTGCTTTGTCTACTAGTGCAGACTGATTAATTAAGAACTTACTAGAAAATACATGCATGCAGAAACCCAAACAAATTTTTTCGTATCACAAGCAAGTATGAAAAATCTTTATACATATCAAATCTAATATAATCTTTTGCCTGAACTTTATATAAACAATATCCGGTAGCTTGCCGGATATTTTGTATATCCGGTCGGATATGATATCCGATCCATCCCTACCGCTAACTGTTCAGATATGTTGCTTTCACGACAAATATCCAGCAATTTCTCCAAATTCAAAATGCATATTTATATATGCACTAACCTGTAGTGAATTTTGTGTGGCGTGCCATTTGTGGTTTCTAAAATAAAAAATAGTCCAAGTAATAGTGATTAAAATACATTTTACTTTGACATATTTTCAAACTAAAACAATCATGTCAAACTAATCAATTTACTCTCAGGCCAAGTAAAAAAATAGATATGTTCTCGTTGCCGCCCGCTTCTTTTTTCTTGGCCGTTTCCTTTTTTTTGCCGGTTTTCCTCTACAAATTCCGCTTCATATTTTTGAACTTTCTTTTTGATAACTTGAAGCTAACTTGAACTATTAATCTGGAACTACTGCGGACTCATTCAAAATCCTATTCGCTGATCAAATTCAACGCTGTTCAAATTTAATACGTTACGAGACATTAAAAAAGTTACTTTAAAAGCCTTTTATAATTCACGTTTTTAATATTACACGTCTTTTTCTTATTAAACTGTATGAAAGCTTATTATTTTGGCTAAGAAAAAAAATGCCCGCTTCAATCCCTGCTTTTTGGCAGAAATCCGGACGAGAAACATAAGTTTTTTTTACTTGGCCTCATATAAAAATACAATACGCATTTATGCATTTCACGACAAAGAGTTGTGAAAACTGCACTTATCAATCTTGTAGGCAGGCTAATTTTAAATTTAGTTGAAAATGTTGTTTGGTATACTATAGCTGCATGCCAAGATAGGGTATTTAACAGAGGCGAAAATCGTGACGGCTCAATGAATAAAAGCTCAAAACAGTCTACAATTTGAGTGAAAATTGCAGTTTTGTCTGATACTTAGAAGACTTTGCCTTGCCAACAAAACACGTGAATTCAACTTGTATTCGGGGTTCATCGCAGGAAATGTTAATTAGGTTTGCTGTGAATTTATAAAACGATATGTTGGAGGAAAACACGTTACAAATAGAATAGAGATTCTTTTGTTAAAGTTCCTCCAACATGGCCGCCATTACGTCAAGTTCAACCATTGATCTGAAAACTGGGACTGGATAGAGATTCTATATGCCAGAATATTTACTAGAAAATACATACATGCAGAAACCCTCGCCTTGCTGACAAAACCATTATATTTTCGAACATGAAGTAATTGTCATGGTAACGAGACAATTTTTATATTAAAAATATTTTTAAAATTGAAAAATCCCTTAATAATATTTACTACTCTTAATTACAGAATTATCAATTTCCAAAACATATATATGTTATTATAACGTAATATATTTAAACTTCAATTTAGTGTAAAATTCAACCACAAACGCTTTACGAAACGTTTTAAAATGTTCTTAAAACCAAACTGCCTTTTGTCGATGTGGTAATCAATAAATATAGACTAAAGAAATTATATGCTGTCTTTTTGCAATTATAAACTGAAACAATACACTTTGTTCCCTTCTTTTACGAAGTCTTTTATGAAGCTTTTGAAATTTACAAAATTTACAAAAATGAAATAAATTCGCAAGAAATGTTTGTTATTTCGCAATTTTCGCTGTACATGTCTTCATACAGTCGTTATAATGCAAATTTTAAATTTGACCAATCAGTGTTTGCTATTCATGACGGCATAGGAGATCAGTGAGGATGACAACCCATGCATGAAAGGTGAACCATAGCCATGCACCCGCGATTATTGATGAAGCCCGGAACGGCGCCGTTGGCTCAGGGATAATGAGATGAGATTGTTAGGTTTGTCAAAATATTTGCACATCGTATCGCAACGTCAGCGTACTTAAAATAGCTACATTATCAAACAAATGTCTTTTCCTATGTAACTTAGAAGATATAGCTTCCCACATCTCTCCTTATGAGTTTTAGAACGTTTTAATCAACACTAGAGAATGAGACTTTGTCAGCAATCTTGGCGTGACTTCATTATATTTAGTTATTCACGGGCAAATTTATGGCTAAAGAGAGGCCACTCAGTGTTGATAAATTCCCATTCAGACAATGTTTATCCTTTCTCGCCGATAACTGGAAACTGTAAGAACCTCTTCCGTTGTTAGGGCCGCCGAGAGGGGGGTGGACAGGGGATGAAAGAGCCCCAATTAATTTTAAAATGTCTTGGAAGAAGATTAAGAACTGAGAAGTGGGGAAAAAGTTAGTTTGGATAATATGCAACAAATTGTTAAAAAACTCAATAATTCATGAGGAAAATACAAAAGAAATCACCGCCGTGTCGGTGGTTTATATGTGATAAAAAATCATGTTCATTTAGATAAACTTTAGCTTTAATTTTCTCGGCTTACACAACGTTTAGTTTTAAAATTACTTCTCCAATGAACTCATCAGATGGTTCGTTTTCTATAAGCCATTTAAAACATTCTCAGTCCGCGCTTTATGAGATATAAAACACTGGAGCTGGGCTGTGGTGTTTTCTAAGAAAGCACTTCTGCTCGTGTTTTAAATAGTACTTAAACACCGCTTCTCCCGTTTTACAATTATGACGTCATAGGGGTCCCTGGGAAAGTTTTGCCCCGGGTCTCGCGGCAACCTAGCTACGTCTCGCCCCCTGGTGGTGGTCATAGCAATATATTCGACGGTATTGGCTTCATTTATGTACTACTATCCAGTCCTAGCTAATTTTCAGAGAGTGAATAGATAAGTGAGCGGTAGATGAGCTGAATAATAATGTTTAACAATTATTCGCCGAAGGCGAGGTGATGATTGGGGAAGTTTTAGTATTTTTACGCGTGTTTTTGGGACTGAATTTATTTTAATTTGTAGTCGCCATTTTGTAAACTAGTTTTTACTGTTATATTCACCTGTGGGTGAATAATTATAAGGGAATATCACGTCAAATTGTACCAATCACCGCGTCGGATTTCTTATATTCACTTGTGTAAACATACTAAAATGTATCTGTAATAATGTGTATAAATACTTTATATATTTAACCTTATATATTATACTTTTATATTTAACGCATGTATATATTACATACTGGTTGGCGCCCAAAGACTGGATTCGTTAAGTACACCACGTGAGATCTATCGATGAGATCTTCAGGATTTGTCACATTGCTCGCTTCGTTCAGTTCACACATATTCAAATCGACCAAATAATTGAAACTCTGACATTGATCATTCTCTGCCCAACAATCCGCCAAACAATGCTGGGGGTCTGCGGCTTGTGTCGTCGTCTTAAACACGTGACCTCGTAGGTATTTTCCAAGTTCGGAAAGAATTCTCTGTTTTATCACGACAGTTTTGTTCTGTAAGCCGCTTGTCAGCGATGTGGTGAGCACAGCGACAAATATCGCGTAATAAGGTAACATCTATATATAAGAAATAAAATAATTAATTTTAATTGTGTTTGATCCACGTCAACGCAATCAGTGGTAAATTTTTCACGGCACAAGATTGTCGTCGATATTTTACAGTTTAGGGCAATTTTTCTCGCTTAATTACAATTTGTTTGTCTCTCCATATTTCAAAAAATGGAAGATCTATTTACTTCCTGCATGCATGCATGTGCGCAATCTCCCTGTTCTTGCTTTGTGTAGCCTAACAACGTTGTTCTAAAACTGTTCATAATATAACTTTTATAGTATGCGAACGTTGATTAGTTGAGAAGAGTGCATGCTTGCTGTAATTGAAAATTGTGACAATATATAGGGAGTTTACGAATGTAAGGCGGCGATATCAGGACGACGGCTATCAATACAATGACATTGATCCTATGGCACAAAAGAAATGAATAATAAAAGCTATAGCAGGGTTTTTATAGACCTCGTCCAAGCTCTGTTGACAACGGCAAAATGCATATTTTCACGTCTTGTATAGTACGCTATACTAAAACTGTCTGTACCAGTGTGGGTAGTACCAGTGTGGGTAGTACCAATGTGAAAATGCTGTGCTGAGTGGTTATATTACTACCTTAAAAAATAAGCAGAAACTCGACGAAGGGCCTTCGCTCGAAACGTCGAGTTTCTGCTTATTTTTTAAGGTAGTAATATAACCACTCAGCACAGCATAGTACGCTATAGCATTTCACAACATTTCCATACAATCATTTATTTTAAACAGTTTGTTTAGTCGTCGTCCTGACGTCGTCGTCGCAAATTTTTTCCGTAGACTGTCGGATTCCTCATTGATAGTCGGACGCCACCATTGATCCGCGTCCAGGCCTCCGCCGGTTATCGATCGATCCCTTCGTACCCTGCGTAACCCACTGGTACACCATACATCCATCACTCTATGTTGTTCTTCTTCGACTACGTGTAGAAAGATGGACGATGCAAATCTACAACAAACTTGTTTTTCTGGTTCCGAAAATACTCAAGAACTGTTATTGCGAGTTAAAACTATATATCATGTCCCAATTGAAGAGAAGGAAGTATTGCAGAATACCGTCCATGCACTAGTAATATCATATGCATGTAACCCGGCCACTATTTCACTGAATACGTATATACTGGTATCCAGATCTTATTGCCTCGTTCTGAAATACACAAACTAATTACTAAGCCAATATTATGAATTGATACTATAAAGGAAAAAATATCATATACAAGACTTTTAATTTAATGTTTGATCTATGCTTACTATGCTTTATGATAAATTCCTAGCGACGCTATGTCCGGTTGTGAGGAATACTAGATCACACTGTTACAAGTTAAACCATGCACATAAATCAGCAAGCTATTAAGCAAGCATGTGTTTGCTCCCCTAATCTTTCTAACCAGGAATTCTAACGGCGATAAACTTTCAGCGATCATAGAAAATTCGGAAATGGCAACCTCGAATCCCATGACGAAGATCGGACGTCAGCATGAGAAAACATGCGGTCTCGTCTCCAAAAACGATTGTCACGATTTCCGCTTCAATTACGCTGAATCATGCCTGAAAACATCCTAAGGATAAGTTTCATAAAGCACAAAGCCACAACTATAATATCAGATAATATAGAGCAACCTATATAGCATGACAATTTGATCTATTAATGCTAACTAGCCTACTGTAACTGTATGCCTCGTTCTCCAAATATAACGACTTGACTGCGTATCCACGTAATTGCCATCCGCATATATCCATTAAAACATGGAGCTATCTATAGCATGAGAATTTGATCTATTAATGCTAATCGGCTAAATGTATGCCTCGTTCTCAAAATAACTAGTTGACTGCGTATCCACATATCCGCGTATCTACTAAAATATAGAGCTACCTTTAACACTGTAACAATTTAATCTATTAATGCTAAGTCACTGTATAATCTACTGAGAATAAATATACTTGCATGTAGATGCATTAAATACATCGTATCCATGATGTTTGAAAGGCATAGATTAATTTAAAAAATGGACGGGTATTCTGCCATCGCTCCGAAAGAGTTACAAAAAAGGGTTACAAATAAAGCAAAGAAAAGCAAGTGGGAATGGCGAATATAACTTAATAAGATATGCCAGATGTCATCACCACACAAGATATGAAGCCTACATGTGTTCCGCTCAGATTTTGGCATCGATCAACCAACCAATACAATATTTTGAAATCACCAATTGCGCGCGCAAGACACACTGGGAAGCGCATCTAACACGAAAAGTATCCGTTGAATGTTTTGTTTAAGAGCGCGGGTCAGTGATGCGTCCCACTGTCAATGAGGAGTCCGACTGTCTACGGAAAAAAATTTGCGTCGCCGTCTTACATTCGTAAACTCCCTAATATTAGTTTTGACAACCGGAACATTATTTTCCTTGTGATTGAATATAGTACTTCGTGAAAGAAAAAGGTTATTCAAACAGCAATAATATTCTTCTTGGACTATGTCTGGGTGTGTTACCACAACATCGAAATCTGTGTAAATTCTTGCAGCTGTTTGAACACCGATTTAGTGTTTACTAGTACTTACACTCATTTTGGTGTTAATTTACACATGTTCAGTGTCAGTTAAATAGATACAGCTGTGTGGACACCGAATTGGCGTAAATCTACACTACGAGTGTAAAATAACACCTCGGAAGACCTGTCTATACGGTTTTGGTGTAAATGGGCTTGCAGCTGTGTGAACACCGATTTGGTGTAAATCTACACTACGAGCGTAAAAAAAACACCTCCGAAGATCGTTTTACATTTTTTTTGGTGTAAAGCACCTTGCCTCTGTGTGGACACCAACTTGGTGTTAATCTACATTCATATGAGCGTAAACCAGGACTGGAAGTTCCCTATAACACCTCTCCAAGGCAATGACGTCAAACATGCATTGCCGGGAAGTGCAGAGTGTAGTTTTTAGCGTATAGTAATATATTAAGCAACAATGAAATGTAAATAATGAACTTAGTATTTTATTTCATATCATTTGTAAATCATTTGTAATTCAGCCTTTTTTGGCTGCGATATTTGATTAATTAAACTATCTATCTAACTATCTTTCTAACTATCTTATCTATCTATCTATCTATCTATCTATCTATCTCTGTGCAGCATTTTTCGCCAACTCTACGGCATTTTATATGTAATATGTCATGTACATTCTAATTGTGGTAGAAATTTACGTTTCTGTATTTCTTCTGCTGAAATTTTATATCTTTAGATTTTAACTGATATTGATTACGCTTATACAAAAATTCCAAACACTTTTTGAAAAAATTAACACAAAGAAAAAATCATTGAATCAATAACAATTCCCTAAAAAATTACACTACGGCAAAAAACTGCCGTCATTGTCGACATTCATCCACAGCATTTTCTTCTCGAACTACGGCAATTGCCGCGAGCTAGTGGCGCAATAAAATTCCAATCCTGGCGTAAACTAATTAACACCCCCAAAGGTCTTTTTATACTGCATTGCATATTTACTGAATACAGCTAATCATATGGTTTGTGACGTAAATGTACATCCAATTGATGTCTATAGTTTAACTGTAGCTATATTCAATATAAACTAATGTAATGTAAAAATACCTTTTTGTATATAAATGCTGCTTAATAAATTAAGATTGTATGTTATTAACTGAATTATATAATTATACTGTAAGTTAAAACAATGAAGTGAATAGAAAGTACAAATTTAATTATTTAAATAATTATTTTTCGATTTCAAAACTATAGTCTATATTACATATTTTGATTCAATTGAATCATTCTATCAGTCACAATCCAGTAAAGTTCATGTTACCAGTCAGTATAGGTATTTGAAACCAATAGATTAACACAGTCGAATAAGAACACATCACTATATTGTAGCGCACAAAATCCACAAATGTTTTGCTGTTAGCAACTGTGGCCAACACGTTCCCCTGAAAAGATAATATTATTTTGCACTAGAGAATATTATGAAGAGTGCACTGTACATTTTATGGGTTTATGAGGCCGATGAGGAAGTATCAAACATCTTATAGAACAAACCCAATCCAATCTTTTATTTGTGACATGTCAGTAAATATTTGAGATTTGGGCAGAAAGTCTGGCTAAACTATCAACAGGTAACACATTTTTAGCGCAAGTTGAGTGGTTTAGGGCATACTACGATGTAACAGGGCACATTGGCAGAGAGACTGGTTAACAATTAACCAGAAGAGTAAACTTTTCTGGCATTAACATTTTCAGTCACAGTAAATAACAAACAGCTCTTATATATACATGCAGGTAGCAATAAAAACAGGTACTCTGAGCTGACCTGCCTGAAAAGTCTGAAGTAAACATGGATGAAATTCTTCTTGGTAGTTGGTACAACACCACAATGAGCTAACTCTGGTATCTGGGCCGCCTCGGTTCCATATGATACAACTTGACTTTTAAAGTTTGTTCGTTCACTGCAACCAGGTATATCAATCATGTTTTCGCTCGCTACTCTGGTGTAAATAAATTATTTCAAAGCGCACTGAGTCGAACTGTAATCAAGACCCAACGTTTCGACACTCCAGTCTAGTGTCTTCATTAAGGGTGATCTAAAGTTGCAATCGTGGCTTCTCATAAACATTTACTAATACCATATTAGGGTCTGTATAGTATTTTAGTACTTCTGCATATTAGGCTATTCACAGGACGAAATTAGAATTGTTTTCACCTTTACACCATGCCACTATGTTAAAGCTGAGTAATGACGGTCCTTCAGGAGGCTCCATTTACTGTTCTAGAATATTTGGAACATTGTTCTGGAACAGTATTTAGTTTATTTACATTAGTAATTCGCATAATAAATCGTATAATGATTTGCTGTTATTTGATTTATTATCCAAGTATGCTTATGCAACGTTTTTACTTGTTGATTTTGCCTAACCCTGGCGTTCAAATGGCATATAATAAGTATATGTCGATATATATAGAGCGGTTG